TAGTTGAACGGGGGCCCGGTGGAAAAGCCCGAGGCAGAGACTCAGGGTGAGATTTTTCCCTACACGGAGCTCTAGGAGTGCCCACTTTGACACAGAAGTCTCTCCCGTTAGTCTTGGTCTTCTCATCCGCCCTTAGCCTGGCTTCTTGCTACCCACAATTAGACCCTAGGGTCGTACTCACCCCAACAGCTCAGCGCCCCCTCTCCAGCGCCGCCATAAGCAGCACGGCCCGGTACGTAGGAATAAATCTCGCTTCTCTCGCGAGAGTTGCGGGCTCCTAGCGCGTGCACAGGAAGGGGAGGGGAGCGCGTTCCTAATACGCCTGCGCGCGAGGCCCGAGTGACGCCCACTGGTCCGCTGCGCTTAACCACAACCAGTATGGTGATTACGTTCCACTACCCTCCCTCCCCCACCAGCTGCGGGAAGCAATCTCTGTGTTTACTGACTCCGCTGGGACTCGGGGGGCGGGGTGGCAGGTGACTTCAGCGCTCTGATCTTTGCTAACCTGAGGTGCTTTAAGCAGCTAGACCTGGGTAAAGCTTCAGGGCGAACAATTCGGAGGGCATATCCAGGAATGTCCTATAATGGATTTCTCTTTTCCCAGCGATGATCCAGAAGCCCCCAGACCCCCGTTTCTCCTCACTCACAGTGTAAGCCTGCTTTCTCTTGCCTGTTACATTAGACTGGAATTTTCATTAGTTATAGAGTCGGGTTTTTAGCAAGGCAATTTGGCAGTCTTAAGTGAGACCTTTGTCTCCCAGAAGCTACCTACATTGCTTGCAACAGACGGACAAGAGTGGGCGAGGAAGTAAAATCATTTAAAAGAAAAAACAAAACAAAAAACTCCTTTAGCTGACCTTTCTGGTTACCAGAAGATATGCGTAGTGTATCAGGTAATCAAAGAGGCTGAATCAGTAACCAAAAGGTTGAAATCTGAGCAAATCATCTGCAGCTCTAAGAGGAGGCAGCATCCTACTTCTGATGTTCAAAGATTTTTCTCTCCACCTCAGTTGCTATTCCAACCCGATACCACCTCCTAGGTGCCTTTGTTCTCTCTGATGCCTTCCCACGCTTTCCTGGGCACAGATACTGGCTTCGCTTTCAGTGCTTTCCTAGCTCACTCTGTGGTGATTATTAGTCTGTACTAGCTAATGATACTTCAGGACGGGCCTGTGACCTTCATCTCTGCATTCCTGGTGCCTGACAGTGCCTGGCATAGACAACTCGCAAACGCTTGTTGAATGAATGTCACTGAACAACAGTGTAAGTTGTTAGAAACTGGAATGTTCTGTTGGGGAAGTACAGAATGTAAATATGTCGAACCAGCTGTTTTGTTTCCTTTCACTAATTCTTAAATTGAGATCTCTCTTTCCCAGCAATAGATCTAGTCTGGATATTCTAATGTTACAGAGAAACTGCCCTGGGCTCTTGCTCTAGAAACAAGGTCATGTGGAGCTGGGCTAAAAGTAGAATTAGGTCTAAGAGCACACATTCTCAAATATCACAGCAATGGTAAGTGTAAAAAGTAATAGTCCTGCTAAATTCTATAAATACAATTCCAATTAATAAGAAAGAATAAAGTCTGGATTCCTACCATTACACATAATTCCTAAAGATCTTCTTAAATCATAACCATTTCATCATCCTCATTCTGAATATCTCAATTTCTTTCAAATTTCTCTTTGATCCATAATTTGTATCAATTTACATTTAACAAAATGCAAATATATATAAACCCAGAAGTACACATTTAAGCTTGCAATGCATTAAAAAAAGTAGAAGATAGATTGGACATAAATCACTAGTTTAAATGATTTATCTTTTCTACAAGTACTACCCATAATTAGTGGTTTCATTTTTTAAATTTTTTTGTTATTATTTTTAGGAACTTGTGAAGTTTTTATTAAATCCACACAAGTAAAAACCATATTGTGAGGAGCTGGGGAATGGGGCTACCAAGGAGTGGGAGCCAGGCTACCAGAGGGGAAGGGCAGGGGGGTGATAGAACAGACCCAGGCTGAGCTGGCTCAGGGGGCCCTGCTTCTGGTGCCATCACCAGGGCCACTGGACAGCTCCTGGGCACCAGGCACCAGACAAGCTCATGGCGAGGGCTCCACCAGCATAGCAGAGACCTTGGTGTCACCAAAGGCCTCATGTGTGCAAGTCTTAAAGAGTGCTGCAGGTTGATGATGGACTACACATAGGCCTTGCCCTCCATCAGCTTGTTGAACTGCTTGAACATACTGCCCACATTCTGGGCAAACTCTTGGGGAGAGCTGTAGGGGGAGTGACAACTTCTCCCGGAGGCAAGTGTGGATCAGGGTCAGGTCTAAGGTGCTGCCAAGCTGATCCATGGAAGAGTTGGAGTCGGTGGCCAGCTGTGCAGGGGCCAGCAGGGCTTGTGGCAGAACAGGACCAGCAGGACATGCTCGTACTTCTTCCGGTTGGCCAGTGAGAGCTTGGCCACCACACCATTGCTGTCACCACCATCCAGGCTCAAGCTGCCATCCTCCTCCTTCAGGTCAGCTAGCACGAGGCAGTGTGAGCAGCTCCACTGGCCCCCCAGCTCATCCTGCAGGTCTGGCAGGTGGCAGTCCAGGTGGAAGCAGAACTCACACTGGTTGCACATGACTGGGTTGCCTGTTTTCTGGCAGACACAGTAGATGGTGGCATTGTCATCCAGGGTACCTGGGCCCCCAGCTGGGGCTGAGGTGCCTTCTGGAGCCACCACCTCCAGGCCAGAACTGGTGCTGCCACTGGGTGAGACCAGGTGGGGGCTCTTAGCACCAGGGCCCGAGGTTTCACTTTTTGTTGTTATTTTTAGGTTTCACTTTTAGAAGATCACTATAATTTAAGGCAGTAGTTTTTTTCTAGATGAATTTTGAAGTAAAATAAAAAACCCCCCAAAATATAGTTTTACTTTTTAAAAACTGAAGTTAAAGCAGAAACTTGTGAGGTCCCTGGGAAACCATCTGCAACACAAAAGGGTGGCCAGGGGTTTGGAGAAGGCATTTCATCTATTTAGGAATAACCAGGAAAAATTGTATATATCATTTTTGGTTATTTGTTATGTTAATTTTTCTTCTCTGAGAAACTAAAATCAACAATGAAATTGTTTTTCCTCTACAATGTCAGTGAACACATACATTTCCCTGGCATCTACATGAGAATCAAAAGCAAGCTTCCTTTACACATTTATACAGTTTTCTTGGGCAGTGATTGGCAGGATTTTTGTCCGTTCTCTGTGAAATGAGAAAAATTAGGTCAACGTAAAGATTTTTTAAAAATAAGGTTAAATTTATTCAGGATTTTAAGGACTGTTGTTTTCCTAACATAATGTCTTTCCTATTTAGGGAAGTTAAAGGGAATTTCTTTTATAAAATTATGGTAATAGTGGATGGTAAAGGGAACCACATTCAAGATTTCAGGACCGGAAGCAATTTAAAGCAAAAACTTTCAAAGAATAATTATTTCCAACCGAATGTAAATAATTAAAATTTACTCCTAGAACTTCACAATTCAAAACTTTTTATTCATCAACAAGCCTCAAAAATAAATATAAGAATAACAATTATGTAATAAAATATTCGAACTTAAATGAGAACAATGCAAAAGTTTTATATAATGCTTCCCTATAAAATGTCAACATTGCACTTAATGGAAGAATCAGGTGGACATGCTAAACTGCTGCACTAAAAGTAACCACCAAAACACTTCAGCTCTGGGAATCAGCCGAAGGGAAGGGCAAAGCAAAAGATTATTTTTAATTTTTATTAAATTAGATCTTGATGAAAACCAACTGCATTTGGAATAAAATCCAAACTCTCTTGCCATGGCTTACAAGACCCTAAATGACCCAGTCCTCATTAAGTCTCTAACCCCTGGTTCCCTGTGATTCAGCTCCACTGCCACTTTGCTTCCTTGAACATTGCAAGTTTGTTCCTACTTCAGAAACCTTGCGTTTACTGTTGCCCCTGCCTGGAATGATCTTTCCCCAAATCATTACATATTTGGCACTTTCTCAGCATTTGGGTTTCAGCTCAACTGTTACTGCCTCACAAAGATCTTTTCTAAAGTACCTACTGTTAACATCGCTTTTTAAAAATATTACTTGTTTTATTGTCTTCATAACATGTATCACCATCTAGAATTAACACATTTATGAATTTAATTATTGCCCTTCTTCTGCTTCAGTTCTGTTTGGTTCATCATTATATCCTGTACACCTAGGTCAGTGACTGATAAAATAATAGTAAGTACTTAATAAATATTTATTAAATGAATGAATGAATGGCACTTAGTTAAAGCTAAGACTATTGATTGTATGATACATTATTTATGCACTGTTATAAGAAAATATGTTGCCATTTTTACTGACATTTTTATTACTTAGAATTGTTATATTAAGAGCTCTTTTAAACTTATTTAGACCTAGAATTGTTTTTATGTGTCACTCTCGTATATATAGTGAAAAAGAAAAAAAAAGCAAAGTAAGTTGGTTAAGGTATTCCTAAAACTTCTTCACAAAGTCTAAGTCTTCTGAATTTTTCTTTTTATTAATAAATTTGACCATATTTTAAAAATTTCACTCATCAAGAGGCAGCCCCCCCAAATAAAAAAGTCAACAGACTAGAAGAATATATATTTGCAACATATAAAACTGACAAGGTATTAGTAGCATGAATATGTTAAATAATTACATATCAAGAAGAAAAAAGGGGGAATGACTTAAATGTCTATATATTTTTTAAATGTCTATATTTGAAAAACTTATGCTCAGCCTCATTAATCGGAAATGAATATTTGAGATGTTAGACTTTCAAAGGAATTGTAAAAATAGTACAGAAAGTTCCCATAAAGCCTTCACCCAGTTTCCCATTATGCTAATCTTACCTCAAGAAAGAACAATTTTCAAAACTAGAAAATTCATCTTCACACAGTATTAACTAAACTACAAAATTAATTTAGGTTTTATTATCTTTCTAATATTCATTTCTCTTCCAGAGTCAAATCCAGGATCCTACCCTGCACTTGGTCTCTTTAGTCTCCTCCATTCTGACAGTTCCTCAGTCTTGTCTTTCGTGACCTGTATGCTTTGGAACAACACTGGTGAGTTGGTTTTTTTTTTTAACCTTCACCAGAGGATAGTTTTTCCTTTGCTTTTCAGAGAGTGGAAGGGGGGAGAGAGAAAAACGTCGATGTGAGAGACACACATTGATTGGTTGCCTCCCACATGTGCCTGGACCAGGGCAGGGGATAGAGCCTGCAACCGAGGTCATGCCCTTGGCGGAAATCGAACCCAGACTCTTCAGCCCTTGGGCTCTAACCACTGAGACAAATTAGCTAGGGCTTGGAGAGTTGTTTTGTAATTGTCCCTCAATTTGTTTTTGTCTGCCGTTTCCCTTGATTAGGTCAAGTTTATGTGTTATTTGGAAGAATGTTACAGAGGTGATACACCCTTCTCATTGCATCCTCAGGGGGTATATGATATTGAGAAATGTACTATTAATGATGTTTACGTCCAAACCCATAGAGGATTAACATTAAAAAAAAAAAAAAAGGTGCTCGATTAAGGGTGGTTATTTATGGTTTGAAGGATCTGAAAGGGGCCATTTCAACAGTGTGTTAACTTAGATGCACAGAAACAATGGACAAAGCTTGCTTAAGGCAAAGATAAGTCTGGGGAGTGACTACCCACCATGCAGTGCCCAATTAGGAATTTATGATCAGGTTACCCTGAGGTTACGTTGCATAGAAACCATTTTTTCGTCATATTACCTTAATCAATTGGGTACGTTATAGCATAGTAAGAAGCTAGAAAAATTCCAGGACAAGCAGAATAGGGAAACTGAGACAGTTAAATAGCAGTTTGTGGCCACCTAATAAATCCTAGCTTCCCTAAACCAAGAACACTTGAGTAAATGGTTTGCACTTCTACTCCCCAACCTGGGGTTAAATAGCTTAAATCACCCTACTCAGGAGACAGGTAACAGAAATCCAATTAGTGCCATTTGCCAACTACACCCAAGGACAGACAAATTAAGAGAATAAATCTCATTTTGGTACATCAGCATAAAGCTGATAAATATTCTATTGATCCACCCTTAATCTTTAAAACCCCTAAAAATGAAAGTCCCAATGGGATCTCTCCAGGGAGCATGCCTGTGCCATTCCCCTTCCCCCTCAGGCATCTGTCCCCTAACCTCTAAGGGACCCCATGAGACTTGCAACCAGGGAAGCAATGGGCAGGGCAGCTCTTCCTGGGCTAACCCCCCAAACCTGTCTCCAAGGACCCTTTTCCCCCTTTTCTTTGACTTCCCAGTGGGCCAAGGCAGCCCAGCCTAGATCTCCTGCAGCTTCTTCTATGCCCTTCCTTGTTTCACTGTCCTGAGTGTTTTTGCTGCAGTCAATAAATTCTTGCTTTTCTACACTTTGTCTCGATTGAAATCTTTCCCTCAAGACAAGAACTGAGGTCTCCTCATCTCCCTGGTAACAGGTACAGTGGTGTCTGCCAGGATTCTTCATAGTAAAAATACTATTTTCCCCTTGATACTTTGGGACCATACTTGATTGAATAGTGTCCTCTACCAAGAATGCAAACCAATTTTGCTTATGCTTTGAATCAACCACACCACAACCTCTACATAAGACATATCCCAATTTCAGAGATGTTAAAATATGAAATAAAAATGAATCCTAGGATTAGTAACATGCAGAAATTCACTTCCATCAATTCCACAGTGTTTCCAGGAGGCTACATGAAATGTAGAGTGAATTGTACTCCATTGAAGCTCTGAAGGTTCTGCCTCCTATTTAGCATTCTTGGAGCATAACAAAAGGTAAAGCATCCTAAGTGTCCTTAGAAGTTATCTGGGATGATTATTCAAGTACAAATTCCTAGATCCCATTTCGAAATTTCAATTTCAGTAGGTCAGTGAGCTACACTTTGAGGAATATTGAACTAGACCTTCAATGTCTGAGTCAAATTATGCCTAAGGAAATAAGTCAAAGTAATAAAGCTAGATATCAGTAATATTTAAGCATTTTTCAAGATACATCCAAATTTAGTTTCAATTTTATAATGTGATTTGTAATCATGAGTTTTAATCATGAGGAAATCTTTAAAACCATTTCAGAAACAACTATTTGTAGAGTTATACTGCTGACTACATTGCACTAATTATAAAACATTTATGAAAACCCTGTCTACTTAACAGGTCAGTATCCATGTGAAAAATAAACCTTTGCATTTCCTAATAATTAGACTCATTACTGACTAAAATTAGCTGACATTATCTAAATTAGGTTTTTATTAGAAAAGTTTGTACTAAGAGTTCACAAACCAGTTAAGTCCCTCCATCCACTGCAAAAAAAACCATTAATCACTCAAAATGAAAAAACATTTTCACTTTTTTAAGTACACATTATCTTCAAAGCATTAACACCAGCCAGAAATTATATCATGTAGAGTGATGAGAGCTTTTGATTTGTCAGGGGGAAAAGTTAACATATAGATTTATCCTGATATCTGAGATGTAAAGAACTAAAGAAAATGTAAAAGAACATAAGACAGATAAAGGGACAGACACCATGTTATACTTTAATGGGCTATCTGATTACCACGTTCACTGAAAACTGGCCATGGCAGCTGACAAATAGTATAGGGTACTAACCTCCTCAATTGGAATTGCAGGACATATGGTGGCACTTAGGACATATACTTCAAGGCAAATGGCTTGGCTAAAAGATTCCTTACTCTTGGGAAGTGAAATAAAAATGCCACACTTGGGGTAGAATATTTTTCAAGTCCTATGCAGGACTCTAAATAGAAACTTGATGAATTCTAAAAGAACATATACCTATGCATTAAAACCTACCACTGTAGGCCAAGTCAATTAGTATTACTGGGATTAGATGCTTTTAGGACATCTTGGAGAGATTTTGTTGTTTTAATGGGAATTAATTTTTTATGGCAGTACAAAAGAAATTTTACATCACACCAACCACTAACAAAACATTCTTTAATACTGTGCCTTTCCCATGCATTATGATGCTTAATATTACCAGAAAATACTGACAGGTTTAGCATTTATTAGTTCAGTTATTTGGGGGTAAACCTAAATTAATAGTATAACATGAAGTTATGTGAGTAAACTGAGATGGGGGAATGAGTTGATGAATGATCCTAGTTGACTACTCAGCATTTGAATCTCAAAACTGCTTGTCTATATAGCACTATGAATGTAATAACTCTTATTAGGTGATAAAACTTTGCTTCCTTGTGAAAAATGGATCTAAAAAGAAAGCCAACTACAGGTACTAGTAATGAAAGATATCAAAGTAAATGATGGTTCTTAACTATAAAATAGAAGTTATATATAAATGAAATAGTAGAGTGTAGTACCTAAGAACTGTGATGTGAATAAACCTATTATATGCTCTTCACACTAGGTAAACTACCCAAGTTGAAGATTTCCTAGCAGAAAAAATTTAAAAATTGATTACCAATATCTAACGGAGTAACTAAAAGCTATGTTTAGCATTTGAGCTAAGTGTACGTGTGTGTCCACATACACAGGACAAAGTTTTCAGCATTCTTTGAACATACAATGACTATACTACCAATGGAAAAAAACAGTTGACTTATTTTCAAGTATGTTTCCTGGAGACTAGCAACACGTTCTCTCAAATTAAGAGTAAAGAGACACGGCCATGAATTGCCAAACCAACTCTTAGCACCAGAGAGACTTAAAACTTCATAGAAGGTGAATGACATTACAAATAAGAGAATTTGCCGATGTAGTTCTGCAGAATTGTATGGTTCTCAAATGGAAAATAATCCAGGTTTATGCTAAATAGATTTAAAAAGCTAATCTCTTTTTAAATTTTTTCATAATTGCAATTTACAATCTTATATAAAATAAAATCACTGGCTTATGATACAGTGCTCAAAGTTTCAGAGATGTGAAAAAACAAAAATGAACCGAATACACAGTTTATATAAATCGAGGTCCCAGAAATGAAAATTAAAAGTAGTCTCTTAGAGAAAGGAATGGTGAAATTCAACACACCCCAAAACTATTTTGTGGATAGCCCATTTTGCTGCCAATTCTAAACTGCCATCTGATTCCTTTAATCAATATTAAATCAAGTCTGAGGCAAGACAGTGAAAGGACAATACTCAAATAGAAAGATAGTAACTTCCTTCCTTGATAAAGAATCTCCAGCTGTCATTCAGAAGCTGAAGTTATTTGATGGCTTGGGAAGCAGTGTCCATTGAGTTTTCCTTTCTGACCTGAAGCGACTCACTGCTGATGGACAATAATTCTCGAAGTTCCTTATTTTCAAGCTGGGGGGGAAAAAAGTATATGTTTATTTCAGGTATTTTGACTGTAACTGCATCAGAACACATTGTTTTGCGTCAGAAACAGAAAACATATTAATTTTTAAAGTTTTAAGAAACAAAAGAAATAGAATTTCCTAAAATACTACTTATTTACTTATTTATTCATCGAACAAACATTTACTGAGCAATTTTTATAAGCTACATGTTAGGACTACAAAAAAAAGACTCCTCTCCATTGGAGGAATTCACACTTATGATACTCTTCATGGTTCCCATGATTTTTGCTACTATTCTATCTTTCAAATGTCTAATAATATTTTCACTCAGCTCAATCTTCTCTCCTAGATGTCCTACAGTTTTGGAGAAAGGAAGGAAAGGGAGAGAAGAAACGATTTATTGGCCACGTAACCAGTACCACGTGGATGTCTTAAATATATGATCTCACAACCATCTGTAGGGTAGGTATCATCGCCTACACCCATATTCTTTTTAAAATGAGGACAGTGTGGCTCACAAAGTCCAAAAACTTGTCCAAACTCAGACAACTTGGATGTGGTATTGCTGAGGTCGCCATCCAATGCCCATGTTTTTTCCACTTAAAGTATCAAGTAAAATTTGTCTCATGTTTCCTTAGGGCTGTTTCCATAACTGAGAAGAATGTAGGCAAGGTTGTTCTATCACTTGAACTACCTCCCAGTTCCTAATTGGGACCTTGTCACTCCCTTTGATTTTCACATAGGGCAGTTAGCACGCCTCATCCTTACTCTCTCTGCAGGAAATTCTGGTAAACCATAGTGTTTACAGGAAAGAGTCAGAGCCTATGGTCATTAAATTTTCTACCATATAAAGTGCTTCCCCCAGTACTTTGTATCTCTCTCCTAACACTTACATACCATTTCATATCTTATAAGTAGAGTAAGTCCTCATTTAATATCACCGATAGGTACTGGAACTTTAAGCAAAATGATGTATAAAGAAACCATTTTTACTATAGGCTAAATGATATAAACAAGAGTTAAGTTCCTATGGCATCTCATCAGTGTTGTGATGAAACGACGTTGAAGTTATCTCAGGACCTGCTGTACTAGTCATTCCTTTTACTAGGCTGAGCAGGGACCCTAGCTTTTTTTATGTGGTATTTCTCAAAGGGCCCATGATAGCATTTGGTAATAAGCAGCATTCAAACTATTATGTTTTTCCTTAACAATTTTATGGGCGCACTAACACCCTAGGCCCTTCTTTGTAAATTATTTCCATTTTAATAAAAAATATTAGATGAAAATAGCTTTTAAAAAAATCAAGACTACAGGGCTTATAAAATAAACAGTAGTCCCTTGGCTTTGTTCCCCAAAGGCAACCACTTTTAATACTTTTATCGATTTCTTTAGTATTAACTTCTATAATTTTAAGTAATATGCCTTAACTGCTACATTCTTATCATCAACTCTAGACATTATCTATTCGACTTCCTTTTGTGGCAGATGAGGGACTTTAATTCACGTGTAATCTGTCCCTTCCACACTCTGCCCTTTGGATATGATAACATCTCAATTTCTAGCATAGTTGGCATTTTCATTGTATGCTGCTGATTACGTTTCCTTTTTTGAAAAGGGTATGGAGGAGTTTTAATTTTAAATCACCAGCACACAGAAAACATCAAAACACTGCAGTGATAGGATAGTGATGGCACACTTTCCAGACTCTATGAAAACTTCCTGAAATACTGTGAACCTAAAATAGCAACAGTCTTACCTCTAATTGGGCTAGTTTTTCCTGAATCTTACAAAACTGGTCATCATCCACCTGAACTGCTTTCCTCATTACTTCTCCCATTTCACAGATTCTGTCAATCTGACTCTCAATTTCCTGTGAAGATATTTACACAAAAAAGGTGAAAAAGTCATCTTTTCTACATATATGAAGTACATGAGAACATGTGCATTATGATGTTTAAAAGTTCATTTAATCTATGCTACAGCAGTCACATAGGCGTTTCACTATAATCTGAATTCTCAGGGGTAAAGCCGTAATAATCTTGTGGTATTCACAAATAATTGGTTTTCAAAAGATTGATTCTAGTCTAACCACCACTGTTAGACAACATCTCTAAGTGTCTTCTTAACTGAAATTTGAATACTTTTCCTGGTAAGAAGCTCACCACATTCCAAGGTACCTTATTCCATTTTTGGAGTTATCTTTTCAAAAAAATATATTTTTATTGGTATTTAGAGAGAGAGGAAGGGAGATGGAGAGAGAGAGAGAGAAACATCAATATGAGAGCAAAACATCAATCGGCTGTCTCCTGTACAACCTCCACCAAGGATCGAGCCTGCAACCTGGGCATGTGCCCCGATCCAGAATTGAACCAGCAACCTTTGAGTGCACCGGACATCACTCAACCAACTGAGCCACACTGTCCAGGACTGGACTTATCTTTTAACAAGTCTTTCATATGAGTTAAAATCTGTTTCCTTCAAGGTTCAAATTTTCTCTTCCAGAGTAAAGAAAATAAAGTTCATTTTTCTCTTCCATATGAAAGCCATTCACATATTTAAAACATCCCTGTTCCCTAAGACTTGTGTTAAGTCTTAGTGCTTTCCATGAATCTAGGATGAAACTTTATAAATTGCACTGTAGCAAATAGTGAGGCACCAATCTATTAATCCAGGATTAAATGATATAGTCCATGTGAACGTACAATGACAACTATAAAGCACTCTACAGACATAAGAGCAATTACTAGGTTTCTCAAGTTAAATCATAATTAACCAAAGTGTAGAAACTATGCCATGTATATGTATTTTTTAAACCATACTTCTCTCTCCTAACAAGCATGACACTTGTTCAATTTAATAAGTTTCCCAGCTGCCTGCTCTCTGCAGGTACTATGTTAGGGATAAAATAGGAATTTATGCTCCTTACAACCAAGGAGCTCACAATTTAGTGAAATGTACGATAATAACCAATCAAGTATTTACTGAGCAACTGGTATTATGTTTGGTGGAAGAATTAAGCTTTCATTAACATCTTGGAAAGAGTCCTTAGGGAGGAAGGAACCTTAGTCCTACTCAAATGAAAGGACCTGAGCAGCCCCTTACTCCCGTCTTTCTATTAAAATCTTTACAAAGCTAGAGCAAAACCAACAGTGAATGTGATAAACATGAAAGGAAAAAAAGCTTACTATTCTTCAAAGAAGGCACACAAACTAAAACAATTTCAACGTTTCAACTCAGTTCATTTAGAATTTATTCATCGAAGTTTCTTACTGCAGAGTGAGTCTGGTGAGCTTTCAGGACTGGTTCAGCATCCACTGCTTTTTTAGCAACCATTAATTGTAACATCTGCTTCCGGTATTTGCTCATGATGAGTTCCAAAGCATCCTGGTGTTCTTCCAAGGAAACCCACAGCTCTATCAAAAAATAAAATAACTTGGCAGTGATGTCTGAGAGATAGCTTTCAAAGCCAGACTCTTAACACTTGGAATTTTATGATACTCCATGAGATATTGTGATTCCAAATTTGTAAAGTCCACAAAACATAACAGTTAAGGTCAATGTGAAACATAACTTTCTAAGCAGAGGCAGCACAGTTTGGTAGAAACATGGGATTTGGAATCAGAAGGCATGGGTTTCAGTTCAGTTCTGTGAGTTACTAGTAATACTCTTAAGCAAATCATTTAACCTCTCTGAGCCTATTTCTTACCTGGCTTATATATCTCAATATGAAAATATAAGAATACAATGGGCTGATATATGTGGAAGCCCCCTTGAAACTGACATACAAATAACTTCATACTATCATTAATAATGTACTTATCAAACCTAAGAAATTCTATCTTGAGTATACAATTCAGCTCTTCCACTTTGCACAAGAACATAAAAAACTCTTCAGTCTTAACTTTAGTATATTTGAATATTTAAACTTTACATTTTAATGCCTTGAGAATATTAACTCCAATTCAACTCTACTAAACACCTCTTTGATAAGCTGCCTATAAATACAAAATCAATCAGACAACCTTGAAAAGGGTAATGTAACAAACTTCATTTTACTGGGCCAGCACAGGGTAACTGTTACTAAAAGTACTGACCTGGAAATACATATAGCATGTGCACTTTAGTGAACAGTTGCGCAGTTTTGCAAGAACTTTTGCAATATTTAGTATGAGAAAATCATAACTACACAAAAAGGCCTGACTGACCTCTGTTTTCCTGCTGCAAGTCTCTAATCTGTGTATTCTCTTGGGACAGCAGAATGTGAGGTTTGTATTTGGACATGTCCTTTATATCGGATGCATCCTCTTGATACTGGACAAACAGAGAGAGACTAAGCGCGCCGGAAACAGGACAGCCGCAGGTGCAGCCGAGAGGCAGGAGCCGGGGCCCGGGCAGGGTTCTCAGCCCCGATGCCCAGAAAGCTCTCCCCGCCGCCCCTGCGGCCAGGAATAATTCCGGGCCGAGGTCCCGCCGGACCTCGCCCTCCCCCCGTCGAGTGCCCGGGACCTGAGGGCACGGCCCCCTACCCTCTGCCTGACCTGGTCGGGAAGCGCCGTCCCCGCCTCCCGCATAGCGGCCACCCGCCGGTGCAGCGCCGCCGACTGATCCACCAGCGACTCGGCGGCCGCATCGTGCTCGCGCAGCCTCTCCAGCAGCGTCTTAGCGTCAGTCAGGATCTTCTCGATGGTGCAGCTCATAGCGGCCGCAGGACCACCGCCCCGGCGCCGCTCCCCCAAGCGAGGCGCTCCGACC